TAATTTGGAGTCGCTCAAGCTTAGACGTAGGAAGTATGACCTGTTAATGGTTTTTAAAATTCTACATGGTTTTATTGAACTTAAATCGGATGATTTCTTTAAATTGTATAGGTCAACTACGAGGGGCCAGGCTTTCAAGATTCTTCTTCGTCGGCCATGTTCCTCCATTAGTAGGGACTTCTTCACTTTCAGAGCCGGGTCACATTTTGTGAAAGTTACCAAAAATTGTACCATGCCGGGTTCGATTAGTGGTTTCAGGAAGCTATTAGACAGAATACTTCTCTCTCAAAGTAGGTTGTGATGTGTCATTTCTTTGGCTTGTACTTGTCTTACTGTTCGGGATCAATTGGTTTCTATCCGTACTCTCGTGGATTGTTTTATTTCGGAAATGTTTCTTTCCTCTTTTCCTGCTACTGATGTACTTCTTTTTTTTATGCTTTATTCTATTTCCTCTGTTCTTTTGATTACATGTGTCGCCGCATGTAATAAATTGATTGATTGGTAAGTTCCTCAGTTTTCTATAAGACAAACAACTTTTAGCCGCTCACTTCCCTTCGCCGTTTCATTCCTTCTCTTTCTTCTTTTTTTTCTCTTGCAGAGTAATGAGATGGATGAGCCGGCCGACAACAGTTCTGTAATCAACCACCTCACAGAAATCATTTGATAATTTTACTTTTCAGGTCCACTCGCTCGTTCATGCACAATTTGTGGTATTTTGATTCATAAAAACCACCTTCCTCAACATGAAGCGCTTCATAGTGCAACCACTGACTCTGGAATGCGAATTATTGATATGAAGTCCGTTACGGGCGGTTACTTTTGCGACCTATGTGGGGTAGCTTTTCGGTGAGTAAATATATCGCGAATCGGGTTTCAGTTAATTCCCTTCGCCAACGGTTTCTGACCCAGTGAGTGGAATTGATTCCGATTTTGATTTTTCATGTCTTTCAGGAATAGAGAAAATTTGTTTACTCATTGGAGGTCCAGTTGCCCTGAGATTATGGTGAGCCTAGTTATTTTGAATTTCATCTTTAGGTAGGTTCTATGTTATCGTTATACGGTTGGTCAGTGGCGCTTTCAGGCTAATCTCGAACCCGGCTCTGAGCTATACATGAGTGATGTTGAGCTCAAAGGAATGGTTCTAAACCTTCTTTGGCGGTTGAAGCGCGTGTCTCGTCAGTCACCCTTGCGAGCCATCCGCACAAGTATGTAAGAAGTTTAGAATTGGCTTTCCCTACTTCTTCAACTTGCCTGTTTCAGACAGAAATTGCATGGAGGAGGTGGAGCCTACTGTAAGCCATGGAGTAAGTTGAAAATAAGAAGGCGCTTTTCTGTGCCTCAAAACTTGTGTTTCTCTTTTCTGCAGGGAAAGGAAGTCCATAATGATGGTAGCAACCCTAATATGGAACGCTGCAACGAATCATCTTCATCATCAGCAGATCCTGAAGGGAAGGTGAGTAAAACTGCTTTTTGAATCTCTGAAAGGCTCTTCCTTGCAAATCAGGAATGTGGTAGAATGCGTGAGGGCCTCTACTAGCCAATGATCAATTTTTTCTCTTCCTCAAGAAACATGTGAAGTGATTGATACAATTTCGGGGTGGTATAGAATTTAGAATTATACAATTGGAATTTCGCCAAATTTCGAACTCTGTTCTTCTCCCTTGATTCCTCTGAATCTTCTTCATACGTACTTCGTTTTGCGCATGTTTAGTTTGAATCTTTGAAGGCTCTGGTATTTATGGACGATTATGTGGATCCTGCTGACACATTGATTAACATTGATGGAGAGCTAGTAAACGTTATATCAGCTGATAGGGGAAAATGGAGTATTCCTTTGGATGGGAAACCGCTGGAGTGCCCCGATTGTTTTCGGTTTGTCTAATCGGTAAAAGTTATCCAGCGGTTGATGACTTCTCCTGTTCTCCTCATCTTCCCAGTTCAGGCAGTTTGCAAACGCGGGTCGTCTTGAGCGACACATTTCTGGATTTCACTCACATTACGGCGCTTTTAAGTGCCTCCTCTGTGGTCACAGGTAAGAATTTTAATTCAGTCGTAATTTTATTAGATAGAAACATGTTATTTTTAGGTTCAAATATGACTACAATCTTTTGTTCCATTATCGTCATAGTTGCGCTTACACAAAGCTTCTCGTGGGAGCGGACGTTCGGAAGCTCGTAAGTGAAAGTGTCAAAAATGGCTATGTTTCCTGTTCCCTAGGATGAGCTCAAATTTCAAAGAATTTGAGTGAATCCGCAAATCTTGGGAGGCTAAACAAGCCATCTTCTGTTATGATTTTACATATCACTTATTTTTTATAGCTAGACGCTGCTTCGTTGAGAAAACTCGTTTCACATATCAAAGAGTCAGATCCACAGTTACGACCAGGAGTATGTTTTGTAAAATTTCCATTCTTGATCAACGAATTGTAACAGAAAAGTATCTTTCAGAGTGGTGCGTCTTCACGTCTGGTCCACATCAAACGACGGCCATCCCTGAAAGCTGTGCCAAGAAACGTTCGTGCTGCCGGATCTCGTGTACCCACCGCTTCATCCAAACGTAGTTATGGTTTAGAGGAGGGCAAGAAGTGCCCTGTTTGTGGTGAGATAGTTGATTGGTAAGATGGTTATTAGTTCGGAAATTCTTCATGTTTCACAACAGCGAAGGCGGATGTCCGCTTGGTTCCTGCGCTGTTCATATTTTTTTGTTTTTTTTTTTTTGACTATTACTCATTTTCGAATCAATTTTCTTCACTGTACTCGGTGGAGATAAATTCTTTATAGTTGAATTCATGTTTAGTATTATAGGTGTATTGTTCTATGGCGAGAAATCTTTGGATAAACATATTGGGACTGTCCACCTATTAAATCGAGCATTTTTGGACAAGGCAATCACTAGAGAAACTACCCGTCAGTTTTTTGTCTACTTCTGTGCCTCTTTTCTGTTGCGTTTCGAACTTTTTGTCTTGTTTTTTGTGAGACTATGTCCTAAAAGTTTCCCTTTTTTTGTAAAATGGAATAGCGATTCAGCACCGATCATTGGGACACCCCTCACTGAAGTACGGGATAACAGGACAGGTGCTGCGCAGTTGAAAGAGCTTTCTAGCGTGTCACGTGATCGCAACGATAAATCACCAGAAAAAGTGAATGGAAACTTGAATGGGGCGGAAGAAGCCGAAGCCCCGCCAGTTCTTGAAGTTCAAACTCCTGGTGAAGCTGTAAGTTCATAAATTCGTAAAACTCTTCGCTACTATATTTCAACTTCACTACGGTACAAAACTATATGTATGGTCTGTTAAACTAAACTTTTTTTTATCTTTCGGGCCGTTTCTTTTGTTTGCCTCGTTGATTGTTTTGCTGATAGAAAACTTCAGGTTCCCCCTCCAACCCGTTGTGTGGATGTATTCGGTGAAGAGATTAATGATTTTGATGCTGAGCAGCTAACAGAAATGGACGTCATGCTATACACAGGCCAACTTGCAATTGGAGACCTTGTAATAACATCTGTTTATGGGGTGCATAAATTGATGTTTTGTGAACAAATCTTTCGAATTAGGCAATGAGTGTTTTCTTGATTAAGGAAGACGTTGAGTACCGTATTGCAGTAGGCACAAGTCATGGAGCTCAAATCGTCCTCGAGAAAACTATTAAATCATCTAGGTTCGCAAGAAATAAAGGTAAGAAACTGGGTCATAACCGTGGCCTACCTTACTTCTGCTTTGTAATGAACAGTTCGTGGTATTTTGAAGCGGCTGTTTCTTGAAAACTTTAACTTTCTACTTGGTCTTTTCGGACATTATTTCGGAATTTCGCTTATGTCTTGCTGGAAATGGGCTACGAACAGATAAGCGGTCAATTATATATTCGAAAAGCATTCAATTTTTCGCGTTTTGATTTTTTCGTTCTACTTTACTTTTGCTGTTCACTCTAGTTCCCTCATAAATTTCCATCAAATAAAATGACTGCTCGTTTCGTAGCGATCCGATAGTTTTTCACAACTACAAAAGAAACGGTTCCACAACCTGAATTTGATTACGCTGCGCTTAAGGCTATCTCCCATCCGTCTCTTATTTCCCTACTTATCTCTTTGAAGCCGTTGATCGTAACGAAAACCGGAATCATCTTTACCCGGTATCTCTAACCATAAATTCACGTTTTTTGCATCACGCTTCGTATTGCATAGGCTGCATGAGGATGGTACTTACTAAGGAATGATCATTGTGGTACTTCCATCTATAATACAACGCATGGAATCTTTGATAGGAATAGTGCCGCTGTTTGGTTATCAGTTTTTCACAATTTGTGTTAGGGTGGTTTTGCCTTCATTGTGTTTTACCTCATCTCTGAAGATATTCCAGAAGATGAAGGCAATGGTGAGAGTATGGATAGACAAGAAAGCTGGGAGTACTCCGAAAAGGTTACTTTGCATGTATATCCCTAGATAGTAATTTATTCGTTTTCTCGTGTTCGTCTTTTGATTTCAAGAGTTGCTCCCGTTCAGGTCAAATCCGAGAAGAATCATTTGAGAGGATATAATTATGATCATGGTGAAGATTATCAAGGAGCGGAAGGCAGTGTAGATTATGATAACAGCGGCGAAATGGTGCAATACGTTGAGGAAGAAGCCGCACAGATGGAGTACGAAAGTGGCAGCTATGGAGATTACGAGGTCGATGAAGTCGAAGAGGGGCAAAAAAGGGAACGAGTGATTCAATATGTGGATGAGGAAAGGAAGCATCTCGTGCAGTATGTGGACGACGAAGGCGAACAATGTGAAGGCTATGTGCAGTTCATAAATGACGGCAGTGGGCAGCACGTTGTGGGATTGATTGAGGGTGGAGAAATCGTGGACTTCCTTGATACTGAAAATATCGACGACGCAAATTTAGCTGTTTTGAAGTCACCTCCAACGTCTAATATGGGACGCGAAGTGGCAGAGGGCCAGCTACGTCTGAGCGGTCGACAACAAGCTGGAGGTAATTTTTATTTCTGGACTTTTTTACACTTCAAGTTTGATATGTCTGTTCGTTACTGTTATTTCATTTGTATCGGAGTCTTTTGTCCACGTGGATAGTTTGTTTATGTGCGTATAAATAAAAAAAGTACAGCATCAGCAAAAAAGGTGTTTCAAAGAAATCTAGCATGACGTGATTCCAGAACGCTATACGGTGGAATCGGGCTCCGCAGTCGACAACAACATGCCGGAAGATTTCATGCAAGAAATCATACTAGAGGTGAGCCTTTGCTCCTTGGTGAATCATGTGTGTGATTATTGCTTCGCCTGCGGTTTCTTTCTTTCATTATTCGCTATTAGGTGCTTTTTCTGATATCTACTCTGGACAGCAGGTATGAATAGTGTTCAGTAGAAATCTTGGAAAGTTTTCATCTATTAGTGAAAAATTGTGGGGTCAATTGAAAACTAGCAATTAAGATTGACTATTCGTTCTGCTAAATGACTTTTCCCCATTGCAGCATGTTCAGTATCATCTTTGGTGTTTAGGAATGAAATCACCTCGTCTTCCATGGAAATCTGCATGAGTGATCCTGCTCCATCGCTGTTCGGTCTTTACCGGTTGTTTTCACATAAAGTTTGTACCAAATTTTATTTTTAAAATAAGTAAAACGGGTATCCTTAATCCTAATATGCTCCCGACAAAGCGTAATGAAGACGTTAAAGAAATTTCTATAGCTCGCGTATTGTGCTCTTGTCTCTTCGGATTCGTTTTCTTCTTTGCATTTTCGCAGAAGTGTACACTGTCATGTTTTCATAAAATTTATTGTCTATCTGTGGACATAATATTACATCGAGAAGTGTTTACCGGTAACAGATGGCGGTTACGAATTAAGAGAAAGTTGTACATTTGTAGGATGTTGGTACCGATTGGCAAACTTTAGAGGTTCGCGTTATGACTGAACAGAGATGCCAACTCCGTAAGAGACCAAACGATATTCTCTCCGTATGCGTCTAGGTTCGATTTCGATTCATTCCAATCAGTAATTGTGACTTGTAATCTGCAATTGATCTTACCATTAATGAGCGGGTTGCTGGCAAGGTTTGCTGCGGTTTCACAATAAACCGTCATGTTATTCATGTCGCTCTTTCGATGGGCGGAGGTGGAGTAGTGGCAAGTGGCTCACTATCACTCACGCTTAGTCACGGGTTCGAATCCCGGGTCAATATCCACTGGGGCCAGGTGAGCCTTCCGTTCCTCCGGGGCAGTTTAATTGGTTTCAGACTCATTTGGGAGGATAAAGTGCTGGTTTGTACAGCGATTGACCACCGCAACTCATCGTCTAGGCTACATACACATTCAAACGCCACTAAGATTCCGAGCGGAAGTCGAATGCGGGGACGCAACTCTCGAATAGGATTGACCAATGCCCAAAGACCCTATCTTTTCATCCTTTGTCTTTCTTTCGTTAGTGTATAATAAGGGGAAGTAAGCAGAACTCTTAAGGGCGTGGGTAGACCCTGGGATTGGGGATAATTCAATAGTGGGAGGTAATCGTTTTTGTCGTCCCAATGGATTTACTTGATTATGACGGTACTCCTACTATAGGTACATATACTGAGGTCCTTCTCATTGACAGATTGATGAAAAAGAAGATAAGTAGCACCTGTCTTTTCCTATTCGGTAGAATGCACCGTATCCATCGGGGCGCATAGCTGTCACGTATCCATATGAGCCAATTTCATCGTTCTCCCCCATATAACCAATAAAACTGAAAAACTCGATTCTCTCTACATATTGTGTGAGGTCCCTGGAATCTGATCGAGATAAAGTCAAAGGAAATGCAAAACCTTGTGGATAGAAGGAAGTTTCCGTCACCCCCTGAAATCTTATAGGCTTCATCTGTAAAGATGGCAGGTTGAGGTATTGGTGTCTTACAATCTTTTCTCAACCATTCCATTGCTTTCTGCAGGCCATAAAGGTGTCGATCAATGCCTAAAATTAATTGTTGCTTGGTTTATTTATATATTACTCTGTACTATTATGGATATATTCCCATGCTGTTTCAGCGAATGTTCTAATGAGAATAGTCGTTCTTAAACAGGTTGAGTAGGCTACGAAAATGACGATCACTTTGTTTCCTCATGCTATTTCTTATGTTTCTTTTTGACATTCTCAGGAGCAGTCACCTTTGCCGTTCATAGCTTCGCCCATCAGCTGGTTATGGGCTTCATATGCTGCAATGAAAAGCCGCTTTTGATCCGCCATCTGAAAATATGATCCATTGCTATCGACAAGCACTAAAAGTCTTCGCTGTAGCTTCATGTCGGATTCTTTACTTGAAACTGCAGAGATACTGTAGGTGGAACTTTGATTGAGAAATTGCTGCTTCTTAGCTCGTTCGTTTACTCATGCCTGCTTTGTGAACGGCATTCGAGAATTCACGACTCATTCTTTAATGGGAGGGGATGCACCCAGGAAGGAATAAAGCATCATATTGGAAGTGAAGGGCGAAGGTGATGTAGTGGCAAATGGCGCACTTGTCACATACACATCCAGGGGTTCGAATCCCGGATCGATATCCGCCTAGGCCAACCAAGCCTTCCATCCCTCCGGGGTCGGTGAATTGGTACTAGACTTTTCTGGGAGGATAAAAGCACTAACTTGTACATTGGCTCGCTACCGCAAGTCATTGTATAGGCCCCATAACCCATTGGATGCGCCACTGCGATTCCGAATGGAAGTCGAGTGCTGGGCGCATCCCTCAGACGGAATTGATTAACGGCAAGAACTTTATCATTTGTGGGAATTGGTTCTGAATGCCAAACCATTCCACAAAAGTGCAGACTTCAACCTATCCGAAGATATTCCTTTCGTCAATTTTAATCAAGGTTCGTTGCTGCTGAATACCGTAGACTAAAGAAAAATGAGTGGCTTCATAGAAGTTTAGATACCTTGGAATCTTTTGATATCAGTAGAGTCAGAATTTCTCCAGGATCACTAGAGGAATGGGCCGTGGATTTGAAAGTTTTCTTTTGCGAGATGCAGAGCTACTTTTCTGACTATGTCACTGGAAAAATCTTACGTTTTTGTGTTCCATCACAGCTCGGCCAAAAGCCACCATTTCATGGGTGCATCCACGAACTGTTTCCGTTCGACCATGGAAGAATTTCCGTGTCGAAGCGGTTTCGTAGATCGGTGCGAACCTGCAAAATATTCGCTCAAATCACATACGCATTAAAATGCCTATCCTCGTCTTATTGGGAGTGATAGGCGATATCCCTGAAAATCTGGGCTGGTCTATCCAAGAAAGATTCATTTTCATCGCTGTACCTCTTGGAACCACTAAAAGTTGGTAACCAATTGCAAGAGTTTTTCAAAAGTTTCGGAATTTTCGTCATCCAAGTGCCATCGTATTCAGAAGTCACCGATGAGAAACTCACCAACCTGCCATGAGTTTTCAGGAACGCCAGTTGCAATGCAATTTGCATCACGGTATCAGTATAAAGGTTGACTTTTCGCATTAGATTATTGCCATAACCAGAGAATACAACCGATTTCACCCGAAAGGAGGACCGCTGAATATGTAAACGATTGACTGCCAAACTATTCAAAACCACATTGTCTGAAAGGCCAGGTATACCAGTGTAAGGAAGTTTTCATTTGCAGCCTTGAACGCTTTGAGATGTTCGTAATTTTGGTCGAATTCGAGATGTTTCGGCATTTCAAAACTGGCCTCCTGAAGTTGGGTGAGTTCTGTCTAGTGAAGAAGTTTTGGAGGATACGATGGTAAGGTTTTTAGTCGTACCTTTGGCTGCCAAACGAATTTTCTGGAGCGAATAGCCACGTCGTCGCCAATGTGCATAATAACGATAGCATCGACGTTACTGTGCTAGAAAGAGAAAAGTTTTGCTGGAAGGTTTCATATAGGATCGGCTAATTCCGTTGAATGACTTCCTACAGGTAAACTGTGCATAAAGCCTTGTCTTAAACGTGAATTGCCATTTGCATTTTTCCGTGTCGAGGCGTGATCTCTCGGATAACTAGTGTCCACTTAAAGGCGCAGTTCACGATAAAAATGGTTTCTGAGTTTCCCCCATTATAGGATGAATTTGAGGTTTGGCGTTTACCATATCCGGCACTATTAGGTCAGAAAACGGCATAGTTAGGGAGTTATAAAGGCTCAAAGATTGGCCCGTGTGTAGCCTCGGACGAGTTTTTCCGGCACTGATGAGGCTGCACCGATCACAAGGGAACCCATGTAGGAAGTTTAATCAACTTGTCATGGCCCGTAGCGACAGTGAAAGACAGTTTTAACAGTACTGGCTTGATGTAGTCAGCTCTTTGTGAAATTGCAATAACTGAAATCTCGTCCAAATACCCCTTCCATGTTATTTCCGTCATGGCAATCTTGTCCATCCTCTATTTTCCCTACATTCGAGGAGCTATATTCTTCACGGAATTGGCGAATTCTCTCGCCTCCTTCACTATTACCAATCTGTACTTCCGTTTTTCGAATAAAAGTGGGTACTTCAAAATTACTGTGAACGGTGCCTTTGAGTATATAATGAGATACTGAGGAAAAAAGTGCAGAAAAGGGTGATCTTGACAGGCAGAAATTGGAAAATACTGAAAAACAGTTGTGCCTACTTCGCCTTGCGTGATAGCTCGACCATCTTTGCAAACAACGATGTTTAGAGATTTGTCAGCCCATTGATAGTGACTCTCTCCCATGAGAGCTGCATGAAGAATCTGAAAGAGAACTCGAAAATCAGCGTCTTTCAGGCTGGATCAAATACTCTGCTTGACCTCTGATGTGGCGTCGTAAGATTCGTCAGCCAGTGTCAAACAGAAACATGCCGTCTCGACAACTTGGAAAGATCTCGCGTTTGTTTCAGAGGCAGCTATCATTGAAGCCCGCACCTAGGAATTCAAAGCTTTGTGCAGGAATCATAGTGATACAAAAGAGAAGTAAGTAGAGTATATTAAATGTATTGTAGAAGAGAATATTATATTTCGAAAAAAGGTATGTCGAGTAAGACTGTATTGAAAATCCAAATAAAAGTTTCATAAGTAATAGAGCAGTACCAAGCATAATAACCTTCGATGGTTAGGCTCGGCAAAATACAATCGGCACTGAGCTCCATCACAAACTGTTGATAATCACAATTATCTGTGTTGAAATACAACTTACTTAGTAATCATGTCATACCTGAGCCCATTTATCCCTGTTTTCAGTGGTCATCGAAGCTATGGAGAATTTAGAGTCTTTTGAGTGCTTGTCAATATACTGCAGCGTCTGAAATGAAAGTTCGCTTATTCTAATACTTCCGCTTGTTCTTTTTTTACTATCATTACTTTATTCTCCTTTTAAATCTAAAACTTTAAGAAATACGTTTTGGGTCCTGTTCTCAGCTCTCCGACGGTTAAGATTCCTTTACGATCGCGTTTCTCTAGTGAATGTCACTTTTTCAAGCGCCAGATACTTCCAGGAAATATACGGACTTGGGTTATCTTTATCGAGCCTTCATGTACTTGAAGAACCGATGCTCCTGATTTTCAGTCCAGGTGCAAAAGTTGAAGGAAAATAAGTTTTGGCAAGTCACAGAGAAAATTGGAAGTTCTTTGCATCCCGGAACTCACGTTGTAGAATTCGTCGGGGGACTTCAATTGCCCATTCCTAAGTGTCTCCACCTGCCATACATTTCCTCTGCATAACACTATGACGTGTGATGGGCAGTCGCCTTGGGATTCTGAAATTTGTTCCCTGTTATGAAGTGCTCACCAAAAAGCTCTGGTTTCCTGGATTCTGTTCCCTTTTGGAAAGGATTTGGGTTCAATCATGTTCAGAGGTATGCTTTATTGCAAATTATACGAATGCACCTTCAACCGCCCTACGCTTATTGTCAGGGATTACTATACAGTCCAGTTATGCGCAAGAGAAGTTTTTGTAATGCATCTACATATTTTAAATTTGATTACTGCCTTCTGCGAAGGGTCAGGTAGAAGTGGCCAGTGGGATGTTTCAACTTCCCTCATGAAACGTTATCTCCACAAAAATCCAGATATATTGAAAGAAATTGGCATACTACAGCTAACGCATTCTGTCAGGTGGACTAATTACTTTTCAGAGCATTTGAGAAAGCAGAACATAGTTCTCACCTTCCCATTACTTTTCAGAAAATGCATACCGGTTTTAAAATATCTTTCCAGTCGATCTTTCGATAATTCAGGTACTCGGCAGGCATTGAAAAGACAGTGGTACTGATGCATGTCCCAAACCACTCCACGACTTTTTGTGACTGCTAGAGTTTCCCTAAAAAGGAAAATCGTCTTTTCCAATCAGCTTTTGAGAGTAATTGAGTTTGAGCAGACTTGTTTCACTGTTATGGCCTCGGTGCTCCCTACATGGCGCAGTGATTGAAGGGTTACCCCGAATCGCACAACCAGCGCTAGCTTAATCTATAGGTCAGGGGTTCGAATCCCGGATCGATGCCCGCTAAACCAACCAAGCCTTCCATCCCTCCGAAGTCGGTGAATTGGTACCAAACTTGTCTGGGAGGATAAAAGCACTGACTTCTACATCGGCTGGCCACCGGAATTCATTGTATAGGCCACATACGTACTCATTACGCCACTACGACTCTAAGTGGAAGTCGAGTGCGGGAGCGCATCCTTCAGACGGGACTGATCAACGCCAAAAGGCTCCATCCTTTATCCTTTATGAAGCACCGAGATGGTAATTCGAATAGCTAGCCTTTAGAGGTCCTCAGAGGAAAGAATCAACTGAACCATGAAAGAGCGGCCGTGGTTGACTGCAACTAGGTAAGATCGCTTGATATGTAAACTTACTTCCTAATTTTCTCCCAGAACAGCATCCAGTAATATATGGCATCAGCTGCTCGACAAATTTGGGAGCCATCAAGTGGGTTCAATAAGCTGTTGGTGGCCGCTAACGAAACATAGGGCACCAGAGGAAGCCGAGCCTCGCAGTATGCATCGTACCACCATTCTTCAAGCTGAAATCACGTTCTGAACGTTAGAATCTGTTCCGATATTTCAAACATCGATGCCAATGTGCGCAACCGAATTGGGAATTGAAAATTGCGGTTTTCATGGACCAGGGCAACAAATTTGGGGAATACATTCTGCTTGTCAACTTTTCCACTAGAGGAGGACTGCCCGGCGTAAGCCCGCCGATCCGATTGTTTGACAGACACGATACTTACCCAATTTTTCATCTGCGCACTTCGTTCGACTAGAGTATTCTGTAGCTGTTCAGCTATGAAGCTACTTCGAAACACTTCAACGCTTTCCCTTGTTTTCCTTCGTTGATTATTGTCGAGTAATACCAGGGCTGAAAATGGTTTCTCAATAAATCTGAAAGGAAAAATTTCTTACCCATATTTAGAGGAAAACTTACCCGACTTGAGATATCTATCAAGTGTTTCATTGAGATCTGGTAGAGGTAGAGGTGGAAGCTCTTCCTGTCTGGAGAAGGTTCCCATAGTACCGGAAGTATAGCGCCCTCCCGGTTTGAGGATTGTATACAATATGGAGGAGGGAGTCTAAAGTGATTGCAAACATAGAAGCACTTTAGTGAGACATATTTTAGGGTCGAGAAAATGAGCAACGACATCACAGGTGAATGTATTAGAATGCCAGATGAGTTTCCGAAGAACTGTAATTCTGATGTCCTACCAGAAGTAGGTACGATTAATGCCGTTGACGTTAGAGAAGGGTTTCAATCAGCGTCAATCAGCGAGTGATTCCCTAGGATGTCGACAGTTCAGCGATGCATGGCATTCAGCTCTTGACACTACCATAGGTTTGAAAAGAAGTGCAAGCAATGTTGAAAACATCGAACAGAGATTACTGGGGTGTGGTGCAGTAGGAACGAAATTGTCGCGTTGCGGCGAGAGAGACGCCGCGCGAAGCATTGTAGCAGTATGCAGCAGCAAATAAGAAATACAGGACTAAAAGAACTAACAGTAAATCATGCTCTAAATAATAATCGCATAGCGATTGAGCTGTATGAAGAACGCTAGAACTGTTATAACGAGGCAAATGGTCCGCGACAGCCGCGTGCGGCTGATCGAATAAACAAAACCGTTCCAACTGCCGTTCTCTCAGATGACTGGGTTCAATAAAGGATTTGACTAATCAGTTTAAAGACGTATGCCTATTGGAATCCTATCTAAATATAAAATAGATGGCCTTTTCCGGGAATAGCGCTGCAGACCTCGTGAAATCGCCAAAGGTTACATCGTGGCTCACCTCTCACCTACCAGCTCCCCGGTCGCGCTCTGAAGTGTTTTGTAGGGAATTCCTTGAAAAGATGCAAAATAATTCCTACCAAATCAATACTTCAGACAAGACATCGAACGAGTGGAGGGAACAATTGGTTACTGTTTGGAGATGTTACGGTTCCCCTCGCCGATCAAATTAGGCCACTTTGATGGTTGTTGTCGTGATCAATATGGATAAGTCTTTAATTATTCGACAGGATGTTTAGCAGAAGATTCTAACAAGGGAAAGAGCTCCATCTACCCATCCTATTCACAAGGGAAAGAGGGCGGTCCCCATCTACCCATACTACTCACGAGGGAAGGAGAGCGGTTTCCATCAACCCATTCTATCTCCATGATGTAAAATGAAGCGGGTTGCATTGAATCATTGCAAATAAAAGTCGGACAAAACATAACAAGTACTTCCAAATGCTGTTAACAAGCTATACAAGGAGTAGAAAAATCTCTCAGGCCCACGGCAGCAAGAAGTACTGATCCACTGAGGACCACTACGATCATTCGAGTGAAGATAGACGGCCCAGTCCAGGAGAGCATTTGTTAGCAAAGAAGATTCATAGTAAAAAAGTTCAGCAGTGCTTCGGAACGATATGAAAAAGACTTTGCAAAAGTCTCGCAATCGTTCTGGAGAAGAGAGAGTAGGTGGACCAAAGCACTTACAAAGAGCTTAAAATCATCTCCGAAAATGCCGATTAGCATCGAATTTTTGCCACCGAATGGTCACATGCAATTAAATTACAATGGATGAGTAGAAAGGAAGGAGAAGAATAATTGTAATGAAAACAGATCTCAAACAATATTGCGCACACATACTGGTGATGGGGGTAAACAATACTATGCGCTATCTAATCAACAGCGATTGAGGTCACACATCAATACAGCCATTTGCAAAACAAACCGAATATTTTTAATGACAAAACTATTGAAGCGACTCTATGGAACGAATGTAATTCTCAAATTTCGTAGAAGGATTTGAGGAATACTCAGAATCGAAAAGAAATTGTATTATAAAATAGGCTGCTGATGGCAAAGCGAGTGGACGTGGAGTTCGAACGCCAGGGAACCGTCTCGTTGCGGTTCCGTATACGAAATATCTTCCCCTCATCTGTGTTCTATCCACTATCTTTTTCTTTCTGGAATCTTTAAAGCTAATTCTTCGAGCTGGTCTCATTTAAGATAATTCAAAGACCCCGAAACCACGATTGAATCGATCAAATTAAAATGAATCCCAAATCCGGTGCCACTCATCAAACTAGATCTATACAAATTTATTTGATCAAAATTTAGAAAATTCGGTTTTTTGGAAAATTCCATAGAGAGGACCGTTACCGAACCCAAAAATCTATAATCGACCACAACTCGAGTTCTAGATGAGATAGAGACCTCTAGTTATAAGACTGCAATCTAGCTCATTGAAATACATGTGGAAAATTCTATGAGAGCAAAATTAAGGTAATCAAATTGTAAAAATTTTAATCGGGGATCTTGTCAATGTTTTCAAAAAGAGTCATTTTCTCAAAATGAGTAAAATGCTTCAGTTCTCGATGCAACTCGATGTGCTGGTCATAAAAGCGATATTAACGGAGCATTCGGAGAAATTGAGCCTATTTCGAAAATTTTGAAGTTCTCATAGGGACCAATGGAAAAATATTTTCTGGATAAAAAAAATGGATCGGCGCTCAAAAGGAGTCTAGCAAATTCTATTCAGACGATATTTAGGGAATTAGATTTCCGAAAAAAAGAAAATCCGACATCTCTCAGAAAAAATTGAATCACAGCGTCGAAATCCATATAGGCAGCTTTCTTTGAGCAAATTTTATAGAATTGAACTTTTTGAAAGTTTCTTCATAGGACCGCTACCAAAAATCCAAGAAATCTATACTACAATCGGCCATATCTCGAGTTCCAGTAGAAAGATAGAAAAATATAAAAATCTACTTAACATTTTCTAACTTCTTTCTTGCTTTAACCTCGGCATAGTTGTTTATGATTGAAATACCTTCGTGCCGTACGAGGTTGTTAGGTGGAACAGTTTATTTAGTCAACGGCCTGACGTTTCGACGCAATCGTCTTCTTCAGAGGCCAGGATTCCACCACTTGAGCGGAGAGATACCGCTCTCGCCTTAGGCGGCTGTCAGTAGCGAAATTTTGTGGAATCAGAAAATCCCTGTGGCGACAGCGGATTTTCTCCGCTCAAGCGGTGGAACCCTGGCCTCTGAAGAAGGCGATTGCGTCGAAACGTTAGGCCGTTGACTGAATAAACTGTTCCACCTAACAACCTCGTACGGTACAAAAGATTTCAATCATAAACAATCTGTTTAACGTATCGAATTTCAGCTGTAAACTTGAGATATGGTCGATTTTAGGTTTTTGGATTTTTGATAAGGTCCTCTCCCTCCACGAAACTTTTCAAATTGTTCTGCTCATTTGAAACTTGTGTATTTTTCATGCCTGATTCGATTTTTCGTTACTAGAAGTTACACTGACTACTTTACAGAATGGTGAAGCTCGTGAAGCTCACGTGGAGCTCATAAAACACCCTTACGTATTGAGTAGGATTGTGCTGGTTGCCCAAGGCTTCGCTTACCGCTTCTGCCTCGATGGTATCAAAGGCTTTCTTCAAATCGATTAACGTCAGACAAACAGCATTTTGTACTCTCGCGATACCTCAATGAGTATTGCAACGGTGTGGATATGACCGACTGTACTGAACCCTCTCGGAAACCCTGCTTGCTCGCATGGCTGTTCTTCATCTAGTATTTAGCCAACCCTGGCGACGATGATACTCTAGAAAGCTTGTAAATGACAGGCAGTAGGCAGAATGGTTGCCATATTGTCTGAATCTCCCTTTTTATACGGCGATACAGTCTTGCTGATTTCCATGTGATGGGTATTACACTTTGCATTGCAATAGGTGTCGCATGGAGATCCGGCGATTACTGGTGGAAGGCCTTCTGTATTTCCTGGTTTGTTCCTTTTGGAACCAGGCACCGCACAACTCTTCATCGACGTAATAGCATGTCAAATTTTGGAGGGGAGAACTTAGGGAGGGATAGATATATCCGTATATAGTAGTTAAGCAGGTAGACGTAGCTGAGGAAGAGATCCGAGTAGAAGTCGTAAATGACATCTTTGTTGCCTTTTGAAATGCAGAAACTGTGTGCTAGCACGACGTGAAGAATTTGTCTTACAACTGGTTTTATAATGACCGAAGCTCCGGCGGACCCTGTGAGTGCTCTTCCCAGTCTCACCGGCTTTGGTAAGAACTGATGCTTTTCTCTCTCAAATCCTCCCTTAACGCTTATTTACATAGTAGCTTCGCAAGTTCAGACGTTTGTTGATGATAGCCTGAACTCGCGCAGTTCCATGGTGACGTAAATGCTCAAGAGTCTACGAAGAGGACGTCCCTTGGCTACTCATAGGCTCTCTGCTCTCCTACATTTATCGTGAAGATGCCTGACGAGACCGTTGTATTCCACATCGATGTTTTCAATANTTCCTTTTCTTAGCAGAAGCTCGCAAGGGTAGCGAAGTGGTCCCAGTTGATAGAGGTCTTGGAGCTTCATTTCCTTAACTTCGTTGTTCTCTCTCTACAAATTGAAGTAGAACGAAGCGAGAAGGAGACTACGGTCTGGAGCTTCGGAACAACAGTGACGTCATTCAGGCGAAACCTCTAATTTGTGTTGATGTTATCTATGTATTTCATTATGGCGACTCCCATGTCCATCGCAAATGGGATGGTTACTGGAAATGCGAAGTGCCGCGGTTGGTGTGGGCCGAAACGATGAAGTCGGCAGTCCTTCATCCTGCTCATTCCATTACATTCCGTGAGTCCCTATGTGGAGCTCTTCATCCGTTCTTCTAAAGCCAGTCTTGGCGTTGAAATCACTGATAATGGTCATGCAGAAAGGGTGGTCTTCTCTGAAGAGCCTCTCCTGATGTATGTAAGACGCTTCTTGTTCCTCATCTTCGGAGCTTGATGTTGGTAGTAGGCAACATAAATTTTTAGAGCTAGGGTCGAGCCACACCTCTGTCCCAGACGTTCGATTCGGTTCGTCAAGCTTTCTTACGAATTGATGTTGATGGCCAAGTGCGTATTGACGAGGACACCTATGCTGCCGACGCCTATCGTGTCCCATGCTCCAAGGAACAGTTCGTCTCCACTCCGAATACAGCGTGCAGCAAGCGATGCCTTCTCGTCTCGGTCGATCCGATGAAGTCGTATTTGATCTTTCTAGCTTGCATCACAGATCTTCGATACACGCTTCCGATGCAGGCAGTCGTGGATTGAAAGTACCCTAAAATTCCATAGATCAGAGCGGTTTAATTTACCGGTGAAAAATGAATTGGAGAAAATTGAAATTGATTGCAGTCACCCCTCTAACTTGATGGATGGATAAACAAAAATCGGAGGAGAAGTTTAGAAGAAGCTCCGCCCNTATTAAGTGGGCGGGGTTTAGAGTTGAGGGGTGGAGCTTCTTCTAAGCTTCTTCTCCGATTTTTATTTATCCATCCATCAAGTTAGAGGGTGACTGCATTCAATTTCAATTTTTTCCAATTCATTTTTCACTGGTAAATTAAACCGCTCTTATCTATGGAATTTTAGGGTACAAACCGCCATCATGGTCCTTCTCCTTTTGGGCAGGCTGTTTTGGCCCTGAGATTTCAACAGGCTCTCCCGAGCGGTGCTATCCAACGCTACCGTATTGGGGGCTCCCTCACGTTCAGGGGAATGAGGCTCACTCATATTACTGTGATTGGAAAATGGGTGCCCAACGAGTAGCTTGTCAGGCTCTAACGAGGGGGCTGGGTTAACTCTGGGTGCTAGGTGTCCGAAACTCAAGCTCATTGTTAACAAAGGGCTTTAATTTTGGACGCGTCCCTGAATCGCCTCCTGGATTCTGCCCAGTCGATTGAATGCAGGCTTTCAGCTGACCCATCTGCAGGATACCAACCACACTGACTTCCCGCACATGTATGCGCAAACCTGCAAGACACAAAATGTATATTGTCCTAGCACAGCACGAGCGAATGTCCATCCTCTATATCCACCTTGGTCTCTGTGCGACTTGGACAGGTAGCTCTTGGTACGCGATTTATTCCCTATCCACCACCTGGTATCGCGGCACGTAGCCTCGTCACGTACTAGCCAGAGAACCTCCACTTAGAGAGAGAGCTTTTATTGAAGGAGATCGTGTATGGTTATTACATATGTAGGTGGTTATAGTCGCACATTTGACCTCGAGCCATGTTTGAAAGCAAACTTTTCCTTCATTGATGGGACATTGGTCAATGTAATAATATTGTAAGAGTAGGTTGGCCACGGAAGTTTGCGATCAAAAGTGTTGGGTCAACTGTACTAAAAAGGAACGCTTGGATTTTGAACAAAAAATTGATGAAGAACCCATTTTTTTTTCAGCCCTATCGGTTTCTAAAATTGTGCAAGGCTTTTTGCATTGAGCACGCAAAATCTGACAGAAACGCATGGGAATCCGTGTGAGACTAGTATAGCTATGTCAGTTCGGTATCAGTGGGAAAAATCATGCTCCACTTGAACCAATGCATGAGTTGCCTGAAAATAGGCTCATCCTTCTGATATCGTCAGACCAGCACAAGGTGTATGTAGCGTGGTATACTATCAACGGCCGCGTCTTACGCAGCTCTCCCATGCCCACTCTAAGCGGGCCTATCAGGCCTTACAACTCGGCACTTCAATGGCAGTTCTTCTGAAGTGTTACTGTCGCCTCAGCATAATTACAAAACACTCGCCTCCCGCGATGCCTTTGGATGCTCTTTGGCCTTTGGATGCCCCAATTGGAACATAACGCATTACCAGCGGAAGGATGATTGTCTTACCGTGTATCTGTTTTATGCTCTACGGTTGTACCCAGGAAAATCTACCCCTTCAAGAGGTTCTCATAGCTGCTCCTTGTCCAAGGCTTCCGCAGCTTCAACTCTTCTGGTGCATTGGGGATTCATTTCGCGGTCACGCGCAGTCGGTCGGTAATAGCATGGAATGGACAACAGAAGGCAGGACAGCAAAGGATAAGATAGGGCAGACTGAAGAAAACTTTCAGGAAAGGCGTGGGCTGGAGAAGGGTTGAAGGGCGACGTACGATGGCCGCGCCCATGGCGAACGAAATCGGAAGGCTTATTGTTATGCCAAAATAAACGTCGAACAGACTAGTCACTTTTCAACCCTTCTTCCTACTTGCCGAAATGTTAGGTTACCGATATGTGACCCNCCCCCCCCCCCCCCCCCCCCCCCCTGATGAAGCACAACGCATGCACTACCAGGTGTTTTCGAAGTGCAACGAAAGGGATGACACCTTGCAATCGGACCTGAGAAGGCTGCAGGATGTGGAGGGCGCGGCACGACATCAACAACTCCATGCCGTAAGCAACTAGGGAGATCCTGCAGTGGTCTATATTGACCTGGGACGAATATACTGGAATTCCGATTCCCGGACTACATACCATGGGATAGCATTTGTCAGTCTAGGACCAGAGCTAGAAGTTCAACAACTCAAGTATGCGGTAGTACTCGATTCTGTTATTTTCTATGGTGGCGTATGGCATATTCGAAAGAGGCACTGATGTGTGTGCGGCGGGCGAGCAACGCCAACAATTTTATCACACGCTCACTCGAATCAATGGACAAATCGTTAGCAGCTTTTCACCGCGCAGTGTGTGTGTGTGTCAGCTGTGTTATCAGAGCGCACTGGAAGAGAGGATGGGCAATGCACCCAAACCGCGCAGAAGGACGACGACGAATGAAAGGACGGACGGCTGCCGTATTGCTCATCTCTCCCTGTGTGTTCCATCACGCTCGTTCTCTTCTCTTCACTTCTTTACTTTACCAGTCTACCTTTACTGAATTCATTTTTTGCATTTCTGACAACAAAAATGATAGCGTTTCTGGCAATCTGCCAACTTTGGTCGAAGCTGTGGTCCGTACCCCTCTTCATGCTCGTTCTTGCGTCTGGTAAACAACAAAAAGTATATCGTTGGTTCGGCCATCGTGAACAACGCCAACACCCATCTGGATGTAGCGATTCTCTGTATCAAATCGGGACTGCAGAAGGTCCGCGTGGGCACGGTGGCGGTTTGTCTTGGAGCGCAGGGGCCTTCGGAGTACGATGACGTCGCTTGACGGCGGCCGGCCGCGCAGCGCGACAATGTAAATGGAGTCGGGGCTTATCGCGCGTGTATGGGACGACGGCTGACTGGCTGTCGTGTGCGCTCTGCCACCATGCAATTTGTATAGCAGCCATACACACCTGAGCGCCATCACTCACTGCTGCTCTCCAGTCATGCACCCATCTTCTAGCCCTTCTCCTACTCGTTGCTGTCACCGCTTGATCAGCTTCTACATGACCATATGCTTAGCCATGGGGTCACGTAAGGTTGACTCATTTTGGACATTTCCGTCTCAAAATCTGCCTAATTAAACAGCCTTCAGTACATCGGCAAGGCTTAGGAAGAGATCGACTAACCACGCCTTTCCTGCTGATAAGCCCTGGCCTAATTGAGGGTGCGCGGACAGAGCTCAGTCATCGATTTCCGCCATATACACCTGGCCGAGGAACAGGCACTGCGGATTGCACGCTCAGTATTCTCTTTTGGACTTTTCGAGCCCTGTAAGTCTTCTTCTAACCGCTACCCCTCCCATTTTTAGTCCAAGTCTCTCTTGGGACCGTTTAAGTGGGTGTAGTACTTCTGGGAAGGGGTTCCTCTTTTTAGGCTNCTTCGGGTCATGAACAAATGGGGATGAACACTATGTGATCAGCGTGAATGTCGATACGTACTGCACAGAACTCCACGAAATTGGACGAGAGCAGAAGCGAGGCGGATCGATGCCGCGCGAATTCTAAGTCATTAGCTCGCTGAGCCGCGCAGCATCACAAACAGTCTTGTCCCGTTACATAGTTATCGCCGAATGCCTTTCCTTCCCAGGCTTCTTTGTGGGCACTCACAATTCAGGTTGTGCGGATGGCATATATGATCGTTGCAAAGTTTCTTTGTACTTTTATTGGAAAGCTCAGTAAGACCGGTGCTTCCTCCTCTTTTCCTTCTCTGATCTTCCTCTATTGCTAAGGTATGACGTATATGCAATGATTCGATTGGCCTCATAATCTGATATGCCGCTGCAGACGCAGCAACAGCAGCAGCAGGCAGATTGGCTGGCAATAGCGGTTTGGCCGGGCCGACTGCTTATGTAGCTCCACAGCTACGCCCTCAATGTTTTCCATCGTGCATATAATTATAATGGTATGGCGATAAACGAGTGCATATTTCATGGCCCAACAACGGTCATGTGTAGAGGCTTGGCAGGTAAGCTAGGAAGTAGAAGAGTAGCCCAGCCTATGGGCCCACTACTGGGTGAGGTGGGTGTTGTTGTTGTCAATCGGCACGCTCAGCGCTTCAACGACCATTTATTAGAGTTGGCAAACATGACGAATGATTGCGCGGAACCGTAGTCTTGGTGATAACATTGATTCCGCAAGCACTGGGTGGGGGGGGGGGGCTTATCACTTCTGAAGCGCAAACTTACTTCACCATCTCATCTCACTCATACTCAGCTGCTAACATTACCAAGTCATCAATTAGTTAGAGTTGCGTCAAGCTTCTTAATGCATTGAGTTTGGTGGTAGATGCCATCGATTGGTGGCCATTATGTTGAGCATCTTGCTACTTCTTGACACTGAGGAACTTCTTGATGACTATGAGCATCAGTGTAGCGAACATGACTTCGTCCCGTCCCGACTGCCGTCGCGCTGTGCCATGCTGTGGGCACAGTTGTGGGGCGCTTCAGCAGGACCTTCGTTCGTTGCTCGACCGTTTTTTTTTTCTGAATACGTCAATACACCAGCGCCATCGAAGATGGATGTAATCGTTAGTTTGAAGGACGTCTAGAATAGAAGGGGTGAGATGCTTCAATTCCTTCCCTTCTGTGGAACTCCTACTTTAAAAAAGTTTTCTAAAAAAAAACAACCAATCTTGAACAAATGACTGCAACATCTATTTGTATATTCAGGGGAAGTTCACGTTTATTTTGCGACCTCATTGAAGTAATACGCAGTATTCATAGAAGGGTTACCTTGAAAAAATGCTTTACGGACGCAATTTTACTTTACATCAAGCTACAGCTTTTCCTATGGTACAACTGCTTCCTGTGCCATCCGATCCTCTAGTCCTTACGAGAAGGGCCACTGGGTAGAAGTCATGTCCAAGGAGCAGGGGATCCATACCCTTGCCTGAACACTGTGACGACATTGTCTTTTGTCGGCT